AAAAAATAATCTTTCACGTGACAGTCATACTCAGTTTAACTTATTAAATATTCTCTGTATTTCCACAGTTAAGTGATTCACATAATTAAACAAGTTATACAGTGAAAATAACAATTTAACAGGTATACAAATTTTGCATAAATAAGCGACATGGATGATAATAACATGCATATCATATTGGTTAAGTTCAAATCAAATGCAGCATGACAATATAAAGTGAAAATAGCATAAACATAGACATTAAAAAACATGCATATACTTAAAGTATATATCGAATAGACATAGATTGTTTTGAGTACATAAGTATTTACATTCACATTAAACAATTTTATATGTTATGATATATTTCAGATACTGGTACAGTTATCAATGATACATGATTATTATTTCCTTCCTAGTAACATAATTATGACATTTTGCAGGTATACTTAACACAGTACTGTTAAAACATAATCATTTTCTTTACGAAATGTGTATACTTCTTGCATTTTAATGCAATAGTACACATATGCGATTCATATTCTTAAAAATATGTTCATGAACATTTTTGTTTTGTAATGATAACGTCTGCCTATAAGATTTTTAAACTTAGTGTTGCTATCACTTAATAATATTTCTGAACTAACCTCTTTGCCAAATAAATTAAACAAAGTTTTAAACAATTCTTCACGAAAAATGTATATTCTTCAACATGTTTTATGACACCATAGCACAGTGTTCCAAAATCGAGACACATTGAAATAATGTTTATTATGAATAATGTTTATTACATTTGCTTATCCATAATTGGCTAATTTGAGCCTTGTTGATTGATTTGGAATTCCCATAGAAATGATCTCCCTATGTGTGTAAAAATCGAAATCTATCAAAATAGAGAAAAAGCAGAACACCTTAAGAAAGCCCAAAAAGGCACCATCCTTGATCATTCTTAGGGTCAATTTTTTTCTGTTTCAAAAATATTTAGTTTTGTTCTGCAGAATATTATCCATGTCTCTTTTGATGGAAAAACACCAGTTTCTATAAACTTTATTGAGTACATTGAGATATTATATTTTCTAAGGATAGTCACAATATCTGGGGCAAACCATCGCTGTTTTTTTTCTCTGCGCAACATAGGTATATTGATAATCTAATGTTGAACACATGTTTTGCTAAAACAGTGTTGGACATTTCACATAATTGTCTTTTCTAAGCTCTATTTCATATGTAATACTTTTCCGGCCTAATGTACTATGACACATGTTCGTTCGTGTTAAGAACAAAATAACCATTGTAATGTTTTGCAGCTAGTATGTTAAACCTATCAAGTCGTAAATAGTCAACTTTCTTAGATTAAAACACAATTCGCAACAATACAATAATCTAGGAATACAAATTTTTGAAATAAGCAAGATCGTCGTACATCAAATCAACATTGGCTTTGTTAATATGTTCAAGTAAAAGTAACAGTTCATTTTCATACTGTAATAAAATGTATCTATCAATAACCGCAATTAAAGTCAGGTGATCTAATACATCAAACATATCGTGTGATAATATCTCTATTTTTGACACTAGGTCTTTGTCACTTTTTTACATAATAATGTGATCTAACACTTCTTTGGTAGGCTTGAAAGAAAATTTTGGACTACTTCAATAAGGTGAATGTACAAGAGATATCAAGTCGTTTCTTAAAAATTTGTTAAGCCTATGATTAGATGCGAGTTAAGTGACCTACTTTCAGCATTCATATCTCCAAGGAACAATATTACACAATAATCAGAATATGAAGTAGCGTATTTATCTACATATTATATTCAACTTTCGCATGCATTGTTATACATGTATAGAAAAATTTCTCTTTTATAAAAGAAGTATGGTATATGTATTATATCTCTTCGATCTTGGAGGAAATAAATAAATATATACTATTTAAGTGTCTTTTTGTAATAACAGTCTGAATAATTGTCTGTTAGTCCTGCGATTGTTATTTTTTTAACACTGTTAAAACATTATTATTATAACATGTTATTATGAAACTACAATTATATACTTTTGGTAATACTACAATTGAAAACATATAAGATGTAATTTAAACAATACGATGGATGGACATATCTTTGGTGTTTGTTTATTCTGAAATACTCGTATTCTCGTATGTCATACCGACAGCTCTATCCTCTGAAATATATAACGCTTATAACGTAATATTTCCGTACCAATTAGTCGTGTCGACAGTTAAACTTTTATAAAACCATTAAACAAAACAAATAAACAAACGCGTTCAATGATTGCATTCAGTCTATTTATAAAGAAATGTTTCAAACTATCATCAACCTATTGAGCGTTAGATGATGCTTTTATGTCAAATTTCATGAACGTGATTCTAATATTTCAGTCAGATTTCGATGATTTATTTGAATTTTAGATAAAAAGTATTTAGTAGTTAAACATTATAACAAATGATCGTGAATACCTGTTATAGAGAGATTAGTCTCACTGTACATATTGTTAACATTGTTTCTTGTTTCATGTTTAAGCTCTTCATAGGCCGCATTTTCAGATCCTTGACTAAAAATTATAAACTAGAATGAACATACATGTGTTTTGACATAAATGTGCCAATGTTTATGTCTCGTATCTACAAATATACCTGGAAAATAATTTCAGAGAATTTAGTTTAAGTCAGGTGTTTAAAAGAGTATATTACTAATCGTGAATGAAAACCTTTATGTAGGACTTAAATACTTTATAAGCTCAAAATCACGTGCAATGATGACAAAAAATATGCATGAACATATTTTAAAAGGTCTTACAATATTGAAGGTTTTAGAATGAAAACAAATCTTGTTTTTCTTATGCAAGCAATAATCGTCAGTGTCAAATATAGATAAATATGATTTTGAAGGATTATTACAATAACAAACAATATGTACTGAAATCTGTGATTTATTTTGTTTACTAACATGCACTTGCAAGTTAACGTCACACATATAAATTAAAATTAACTTACACAGAAGATAACTGTAATGTGACGTCTCTGCTTTCAGTTTTATTCTTTAAAATGCGCTCTGAAGCTAAATAACTTGATAAATAACTTCGAATTGTTAGTGATATATTAAGAAACAATTATTCAATGATTAATTGTTGAGAAAATGTTGCATTTTATGCATAAGAAAACAATAGTCCGAAAAAGTAATAACAATTTTATCGAAATCCGAAAGTGGAAATCACAATTATCTCATTATAGTCGAGTCTGTAACGCATAGACATTGAACTTTGCGACACATCACATTCACCCTACCGCTGACTTAGGTAATGACTAAGTATGATATTGAAATCGCCTTTATTCAAATATCAACTTTGTATAATAACACTATCACAGTGCTGAAAATTGCGGCTGCTTTCTTTTGTTTCTTACAACAATAAACATCTATAAAGTGACGTTACGATTTAACATAAAACTGAGTTTAGACAGAAGTTGACGTATATTTTAAAATTACTTATCTTGAATGTAAGAAACATTAAGGAATAACTTAGCATAAAACGGTGTGATAAAACAAATAGAAATAGTGAAATCAATATTAAAGCAAACAAACAAACAAATATACCCACCACCACCACCACCACCAACAACAACAACAAACAACAACAATAACAACAACAACTAATAATGATAAAAATAAACTTACGGACATGACAACATGACGACTCTTTTCTCTTGTAAATGAAAAATGTACACAATCCAGTCGCAAGAATCATAACTGCTTGCACACTAGCCAAACATGCAATCGCTATGATGAAATTTGAGTTATCTGCATAAAGCATAATACTAAAAGTTTAATATCAGGATTCATAAATACAATGCCTAAAATCAGAACTTTTATGAATATCTATATCTATTGATAAAATTAGAAACATTAAAAAGAAACATTATCTCAAATACAGAAAATTGTCAATAAATCACGAACCCATTAATGTTGCTAGAAATTTAAAGAAAATAATAACTGTTGAATGAAATTATACCAGACACGAAAACACTGATCTTTTCCTCAACACTGCGCCCATCCAATCTTCTTGCTGTGCACGTATATTCCCCTGTATCTTCTGTCGTAACGTCTCCTAAACTCAGAATGTTGTCTTTGCTATGTTCTCCCCAGGATATGATGCATGGTGGATAACATTCAGATGTACATGTTATATCAGGCATGGTGTCTCCACTAACCATATTGTAGTGTGTTCTTCTCGGCACCAGTATGAGAGGATTACTTGGTCCATCTATGAACATAAAAAAATTAACAGCTTAGAAAACAGAAATTATTTTATTCCAAATTTAAGTGTTAAAGGACGGCTCGGTCTATCTATTAATTCATTATTCACACAGTACGAACATTACAATACATATCTTTCTTTAATTTGTATTATATATCGAAACATATTACAAAAATATGAGTTCGTCAAAGATGGGCGTTTTTAACAGTGATGATCATAACAGAAAAGAAATTGATGCATATTAATCAGTTTGCATTCTACTGTATATAACACAGTAAGCTGACAACCACTGTATGAAATGTTGCCATTTTATTTCGATCCTAAACTTGTGCAAAATGTATAAAAATAAATATTTTGCTGCTAATTTTAAATGGAGTATTTTTTTGGTTAGTAGTATTAAGTATTGAAAGCTCTTTTTAAAAATTTACTTAAGCAAAATATACGTCATGCTATTTAAAATGAGATTGGACATAAGTCATACATCTAATTTTTATTGTGGTATTCACTTCAGTGATTCTTCCATCACCTTGTATAGCACGGTAGGTAACATTCCTTCCATTGAGACCTCTTCTAATCCTTGGTATCCAAATAAGTCCATCTTGTTGTATAAAACTTGCAGTTTGTTCGATAGATTTTCCATCTAATAACCAGACCAGAGTTGCGTTCGTTAACGGCCGCTTTATCAGTGAAGCTTGCGGATGTGCAAACACATATATTGGTTCATGTTCTTCTTGACTATGACTTGGCTCAGTTCTTGTTCCTTTAAGTTGGTAAGAATGGAGTTTAGTGGTGATGTTTACTTTCAATTGTTTCAAATGATCTAAGAAGATTTAAATAATTTTCTTTCATTCCTTATTTTCCTATCTGTTACACTAATTTGTAATTTGGAATTTTCTTTTATTTATAGAAAGAGTAAGAGGCGTCATTAGATTATAAAGTCTTGTATGAAAAAATTAAATATATGATTGAAGAAAAATAAACTTGAAATTATTTATATATCTTCTTTATATAACAGATAATACTCACGCATTACATAAAGGATATAACAGGCGTAATCACGACGATCACGTAATCGGTATGTCCCATTGTCCGCCATGCTGACGTTGTTTAAATCTATTTTCAGAATTAATTGATCATCAGAGTAAGAAGGAATACTTATGTTTGATCTGTTTTTCCAACCTTCATCATAATACGAAATATGTATAATAGGTGCGCCGTATACACTGACAAGAAAAAAATATCCTTTAGTTGACGTCTTTTCCATACGAACACCGAAACGGGAAAGAAACGGTATATCGGTGAAGTTGCATAGAAAAGATGCTGTTGTTCCCTCTGGTGTAAATATTGTTTGATTAAAATCGCATTCTGTAAATTAATACAAAAGAAGATATATATGTGAAATGAGATTTGTGAGTTAACTGAATGATGAAAGTAAACTTTTTTTTAGTTTGAGAAGCAAGTTAAATAGATCACGCTGAGCACGAATTTTTCACATAAAATAATACATTTGTGGGAAAAAAATACATGTAGCATACATATATAAATTCAAACACTGTTTAATAAATATATCGCATGATTGCATACATGAATGCATAATTTGTTAGTTGTTAAATTTTGTTTTGCCTGAATGATAACTTCCTTCAAAGATATACTTTGCTCATCTTTTGGTTAAATATTTTTATCTTAGAAATGTATTGACTGCAACCGGAAATCCTTTTCCATGTTTTGTTTCTTATAAATGTGCCCAAAATATTACAATTCATGTAGATTTGTTTTCAGATTGCCTACAATGCAAATCTTTAAAAACACTTTTCTCTAGCACAAATTATGTTAAATGGGTCATAATCTTGTTATATGTGTCAACTTTATACCCTTTCATGTAAGGAAATGGCGCCGATGAAGAGTCTCTTCCCTTGCCGAAAATGGCGTTAAAGAAAAATTATTCCATACAGACTTCTTCGCATGTTAGCTGATCGAAAGTTAAATGCGTAAATACTGATCGTTCACTTATGCATACATTACTTCCGTACCAAGCAAATAAATAAACAAATGTTTCAGATTTATTCTTGATATTTATTATTGTTACCAGTAATAAGATATTTTACGATTTTCCCTTATGCCAGGACAAAAAGCTAATGACTCATTCAAATTCTAACGTTTTATTTAAAACACCGATACACAAATTGAAAATACCGGATATAAGACTCTCATTGTTGCTCCTGTACGAACGTTTAATACGAGTGAATATATTTTAATCCAAATGATAATTAAATATTTCTGAAATTATTACCTCTACTGTATCCATCAACAGTCACTGTTCGTAATGCAAAAAATCCAATCAAACCTAGGAACCAAGTAATATACGACATTTTCAAACTGCTTTAATATATCAATAATAGTTTTCAGCAGGAAGTTACTGTATAAAACCAATTATATACTTGCATATCATTCATGGCTATACCATACATTTCAATTGAAGCGTCAAATGTTATGCATCACTGGTGAAGAAGTAACAGTTCTAGCTCTTTTGCTACCTGTATTGAGAAAACACGTTATTCATATAATACTACATACAAATAAAGCATTTGCTAAATCACAAAGTATACGCATGATATATTCCAGGGACATTGCGTTAAAGGCACATTATGCCTCAGAAACAAATAAAATTTATTAATGTTTACTTCTCCAGAAAGGGCAAGCTTCACTTTATAATGTTTTAATAATAGTTTTAGAGCATGTAAGATGTTTCTAACCTGAAGAAAGAAATGATAAATGTGAAATTCTCACCTTGCATCATGAGGCCTTGCATTATCATGCAACAATACTGCAAGCCCATGCCTTTGAAGGAAAGGAACAGTTTCAGGCTGCAGAATCTGGTTAATGTAACCTTGAACATCGAGGTTGCCTTGCACAACAATGAGATTTATTTTCCTTTTGCCCATAATGGCATCACATACCATAACACTCCCACCTCCAAATCGGTCCCTCTCAAGTATCACTCTTCTTCTAAATACTCGAATTCGACCGTCATGATGACCGTCATGTTAAACCTTGACTCATCCGAGAATAGAACCCGAGCCCACTGCTGTCGCCCCAAACGGAAATGCCGTTGTGCCCACTGCAAACGAGAAGCCCGATGACGTGCTGTAAGCACTTGTCCCACATAGGGCCTCCTTGGCCGAATGGGTTGCCAAGCTTGCCTGAGGCGGCGCAACACTGTCTGTTTGCTGATACCATACTGCCTTGCTGAACTTGTCGCTGTTTGAAAACGACGTCGAAGGTGCGTCAACGTAATGAAATTGTCCGTTCGAGGGTTTGTAACCCTCGGTCTACCGGGTCTATGGTGATTTGCTACCCAACCTGTTTGCTGGAAACGCTTGCGCAACCGAAATATTGTGTTTCTGCGACAACCGAACGCTCTACTGACGTTGGAGACGTTGTCGACATGAGCAAGCATCGTTAATGCTTGAATTTGCTAATTTTTATTCAGTCTAGGCATGTTCAATGACAAGCGCTGTGAAATCAAATATATTTTCCCCTGTGCAGTGGGTATAAGGATTATGTCTATGCACATTTTCTGTGACATGTTTCTTCGCCTCGGACTGCACGAGCAAATCATGCTATATTATGTATTGTCATATAAAGCGAAAATTCCGTGCCAGCACGGGATAGGTTTATATTGGATCGATGTATTATGTATAGGATAGATCATGAGTACCAGTTGGATGTGAGATTTATCAACGAGCGAAGCGAGTTGATAAATCTCACATCCAACTGGTACGAGCGATCTATCTGACTTAGACCACAGGTAGTTTTCTCTGTTTAAGGTGAAGATTTAATATACGTAAACGATTTTTTTCTCCGACAATTATATAGGGACATCCAAATATTTCTTACTCAATCTATTTGGCCTTATTGTAGGCAAAAAAAGCACGAGAAAATGGCATAATTCATGTTCTTTCATAAGTTACTGTATACACAATCTTATGAATGATAGATTTCACATTCCATCACAAAGGTGCAGTAAGATTAATTTGGAAATAATTTAACATTTCTGAATGTGATATTATTACAATTTTGCAAGTTGAGAGATTTTGTTGTTATTCCTGTTGATTCTTCATTTAAATGATTAAATGACATTACACCGTACACAGCGCTTGAATATGAAGTCAAGAAGCAAAACTGCTTACCGAAAAATACTCTTAGACAGAAATCATGGGCGATGGCTGCTTCTCAAGAGTGGGCTCTTGGAGAAACGGGCAGGTAACTTTCATTTAACGTTTTCCTTAATGCTTAAACAACCCTAGGGTTCAGGATATTGATTGGTTGTCCGGCTGAAGTTGAAAATATTTTACTTGACATGTAGATTCGTGTTTTTGTTGTATGCTTTATATACAAAACGTTCCTCTGAAGCCTTAAAGCATAGCATTGCCTTAGCGTTGCAAGCGCAGTCCAGTCACCGTTCGGAAACTCCACCCCCTGCTCACCAGTGGAATCCCCTCATCCCAAACCGAAAATGAATGTACATCTACAGTGTCTGCTATTAAGAGTGAGCCGGGCATGATAAAAGCGCAAAAGCGGTCGTAAAATGTAGATACATATATAGATTTAAATAGATTGGTAAACGCATTTCATTTCATTATTGCTTGTTTCTTCTTATTTACAAGTACAGTAACTATTCTTGTAAAATGATGAACTGACGAAATAAATTTGTCAAAGGACTATTGCTATCTCTTAATTTTTAAGAAGGGAATTACACTATGAACTTTACTATATACATATAAATTTTCCCCGCATAAAGCGTGCACATAACGGTTTTTTTCTTTCAGTTGAATACAAACATGATAGTTATATCAAACACTTTACTGTGATGTGTGGGATATATCAAACACTTTTAAACTATTCTGATTGGCCGAGAGAAAACAGCTGTGGTCTAAGTACTAACAATGCCAAATTTGCAAAAGAAACGTCCGCTAATTTTCTAAATATTCAACATTAAAAAGTGCACACTTTCTTTTGGAACCGAGTATATGATCGTATATACAACATTCTCCATTGATATATACCTGTTTCGTCTTACTTTTTTGGTATTATTTTCACTAATACAAATTTGTCACAATTTAAATTCATAAGACTACAAATAATTCTTTTACTTCACTCATTCCAATAAAGGGGCAGGGAAAAACCCATTAATAACATAATATGTTTGATTACTATATATAGCATTATAATATAATTTTATATAATATTGCAATGATTGATCGCACTGAAATGACTGAAATGTATTTGTTACTTTGAAATTATATGCTGTATGATGATGTATTATATACAAATCAAAGAAATAAAAGTTCTGTTCTGTTCTCTTCTGTTTCTATCACCGATCTTTCAAAGTGTTGATGCTTATCACAATCAAACCGAGCCGGCAATTTTCATGTAATTTTCCTGATATAATGATTTCGAAGCACCACTTTTTCCATATATTGCAATGAAATATTTCTAAACACAGGGACGGTCGCTTATTGCAGAACTTGTTGTAAAACCTTTTTGCAGATTGATATACCTTTATGTCCAAGGAATCGTTGTTAATATCTTGTAACGTGCTGTTTTATTTGCTTTGTCTACCTCTCGATGTTCCCAAAACGCTTATTTCCTGCAAAATAAATAGGTTGTGAAAATCAATTTCAACAATTGTAAGATTCAGCTTTCCCTTATTAAAAATGTTTAAACGTTCATCTATATTACTATAATAACTTTGAATCAAATGCTAAATTTGAGTAGTGTCACAATTTGATATTCATAAAAAATATTATTTCTTATCCATGAAAGGAGAGAATGAAATATTTTTATGATATTTTTAATAATAATAGACATGAGTACATGCAACATAACATAATAAACATTTTATTTTCGATCACCAAGTACATGAAATATGTGAATCATATAATTTCATTTACCGAAGTTTCATATCCATACTTAAACGAAATTAACAGATAAAAATTCGAGAAAAATGTTAAAAGAAGAAAACAGAATACAATATTATCTTGTAGATATTTTACGCACCTTTCAAATTATACAAACGAATAAACATATCGAGAAAGAAAAATCAAAAAATCACAGTTTCGTACTCAAAAAGAAACTTACTGAGGTACTAGTAATTGCTTACAACTAATCTATATGTATGTAATATTATCCTTGTACAGTATTTCATTAAAGAATATGTGCAAGCTAAAGAGTTGTCGTTTTGATTTTTTGTTACACTCTAATTTAATACGATTGCAATATATAAAAAATCCTTAACATCTTCCAGTACATCATATCATACTAAATGCTGAACCAAAAAATGTCAAATATGTTTCTCAACATTTAGGTGTCACTAATGCTGAATGGCAGGTCACCAGTTTGCCAGTTTCGGAAATTTCAAGCAGGTCGTTGGCGCATAAATATGAAGTTTGAACTGTCTAAACCTGTACTTGTCAAATGTACAAATTAGGTCTAGAGTTACCCTTTCATAAAATAATAAATACCAGCATTCTAAAAGTGGCAGAAACTAGTATTTTTTACTTACGTTGTAGAATTTGTGCAAGTGCCTGGTGCATTCTGTGGTGTGTTCTTTGTCTTATCAAAACCTTTTAATTTATTAAAAATGTTGTAAGGTTCTTTTTAAATGCATTTTTACTTATGGAAAGATATTTTATTACATACGATGTTATTTTATTACAAGATTCTGCTCGTATTAAAATAATTATTATTCTTCCTTCGTTTCTGCTTCAACTTTAATTCATGTCTCTATACTCATAGATACTATAAGGGCTTGTCGAGTTTCAAACACAACAATCATATTATCTTCCCTATAGATCCGACTGTAAATGTCTTACAAATATTAAAGTAAAAGGTATGCAGCATTTAAATGTCTCGTTAACACATCTTCACTTCTGTATAGTTGTACATATTGACACAATTGAAGCAAGTAAACTACTAAATGGTTAAGGTGTCTGCGTCTCAGCCAAGAAATTATAGTTTACCAACGGAGATCACGGTCATATCTTCTTACGTAAGATACATGTAATTTAGAGCCATCAAAGTAAGCCAAAATATTCTTTTCAACGAAGGTTTTCCAACGTGAAATTGCAAATCTCCATTAAACATTAATTTGCACTACCCAATAATGCATCCATCTTAACAGTTGTTCAAAAGGACCTTGATTTGGTTTGGCATACATTCCACAACATAAGTCAAGTAGAAATACAAGGAAATAAAGTAGAAAATGTATAAAATGACAAGACATGAATGGTAGAAAAAAATATACAAAAGCAGAATTTCAATTTGATATTGTTTTTGAGAAAAGTTGATAACAAACAAACTGTAGTTCGATATTGGAAATCTCTACTTTCAATTATTGACATACGAATGAATAACATTTGTACATTTGTACCAGCAGAAACTCTCAATCTTTAACTGAAGCCTATTTAAGTTATTTAATTTTGGTCCTCCATGTTTGAAAGTAATAATTGATTGTATACTACTTTGATTCCATTACCAAAGGAAAACAATCCAATTAAGGATACGACAAAATGGGTACGCTCGATACAAAATACGCGCAATTAACGTAATATTTTGAAATTGCGTTATTTACAAAGCGACATTGTTGTTCAATTTATAACAATGCATGTTTCATTTAGAAAATTGTCGTTCAAGTGGTATGGTTTAAAATACGAGGGGATAATCTTATGTATACATACTAAAGTAAAAAAGATTACACTATGCAGGTTAAGTATTGATTTATTAACGTAAAATAGACATTCAAAAATGTACTTTTAAACAATTTCCTTTTTATTTTCCATATTCTACAGTGCTGATATAAACACCAAATAAATGCCAATATTTACAAGAAATTTTAATTTTTTCTTTAAAATCCGTGTCGAGTGGAAATCATAAAAACGTTCAAATCATGGCTTAATTATCTCGTCCCATACATGATAAACGTTTATTTGCTAAGCTTAGCATGAATTCATCTGAATTGTATATATATGCATGCATGCATGCATGCATTATGAAAAATCAGGCGAAACAGCGTTGAAAGCTCTTTTATAACCTCATAATAAGTTTTCTTGTAGCATATATATGAATGCTTCTGATTCTTGACACAGCCAGAAATTGTTCGTTGTAAGTCAAGAGTTGGCAAAGACGGTTAAATATTCTATCTGATAATCTTTTAACGTTAATATAATCTTAAAAATCACATTATTTCATTGATATTGTTATTTATTAACTCCATTTCTGAACTTTTTCTCTCCTAAGCTCTTGCATTTTGATACCGCAACTATATTTCTATTTTTTTTTAATCTTAATGTCTACTCTTTTTTAAACATTCAATTTTTAATACAAGAATTTAATGCCTACTCTTTCTAAAACATTCTTATTTTAATACAAGAATGGCAAACTTAAAAAAAAAACAATTATTATGTAATATGAAAACATTTTTATTTAAATTGACACAGGTGTGCTTTCTATCAAAATCATACTATAAATCAGGGGTTTGTTTTAAAAAGGCGAAATAAATCTTGTGTACTAATATGTGTTCTCTCGACAGAGTTTCTTCCCATGATTTGCCGGTTTCTTTATTCGCAAATACATATATCATCATTTATTACACTCAACACTATTTTTTATCAAACACAAAGTTAACGAGAATTATTCAATATAAATTGAAATTCTAGTTGAATAAATCATTTTATATGTATAGAAAACAAATAATACAAAATGTACTCTAAAACAAATACACATATATTAACAAGACATTTATGCATACTTTATAAAGATACATGCATAATATTTCTGACATAAAACGTCTATTCTGAAGCAGATGCCTGTTTCAAAATTAAACGTAATAAAGTGTGGACAAATATGTCACGTATATTACGGTAACCGTATATGCAACATTCACCAATGATATACATGTATGTTTCGTCTTATTTGACTTTTGTTCTATTTTCACTGATATAAATTTGTCATTTGTTATTTATATATATTATATATAAGATTTGTTAAGTATATCTTAAGAAATCTTGGCTCGTAATTGGGCAAGGTATGTTGCTTTCCAGAGGGAAGTTCAGCTATAGACTGTTTACACTAACAATGTGTTCATTAATGGTTTAGTTATAATTATTTCAGCGCCGATCATAACGAATACGATGAGCTTCAAACTAATATTTTATTTATGTCTAAAGAACAACATATGATTGCAGTTTCTTCAGGATATCTTACAAACTCAGGTCCAGGGCGCCAGCTATCTTTCTGAAAATTTATTAACAACATGTACGTAATGGAATATGACCAAAATATCCAGGCTTAAATGTGATAAAAGCTATACGGAAATGTGAGTGAAATGAACTGCCCCTTAGAAAGTTTTTGAACTGTACCACAAACTATCGCCTACGAATATGCGAAAATTGTCCAATAGTGATTAAATCTAACCAAATATTACAAAAAAAAAAATGGTACAAATTCATGCGACAACGCGGCCAGGTTGAAATTAACAGTGCATGTGGGCATACTATATTTGAATAATTTTTAAAGGTCTTTTTTGCGACATTGGCTTATAACGCATTATCACATTTATTGGGCATGATCACTAATTATGTGTTTCTGATGAAATTTAATAAATGGAATATCATATATATCTCTCAACGCTATTTGATGAAAACTTCAGGATGATCATACAAAAAAATGGCACACATATTAGACCATTTATGCATGCACATGTATAAGATTTGTTAGTGTATATATATATAGATATATTATTGCAATGATTGATCGCAATGAAATGTATTTGTTACTCTGAAATTATATGCTATATATGATGATGTACTATATACAAGTCAAAGAAATAAATCTTTTCTGTTCTCTTCTGCTTATCATCGAACTTTTCAAAGTGTTGATGTTTATCCATAATGTACAAACTCAATCAAACCGAGCTGGCAATTTTTATATCATTATGCTGATTTTAATGATTCCGAAGCACCACTTTTTCCATATATTGCAATGATCGATTTCTGAAAAAAGGGTCGATCGCTTATTTTAGAACTTGTTGTTAAGCCTTTTTGCAGTTTGATATATTTATATGTCAAAGGAATTATTGTAATTATCTTGTAACGTGCTGTTTTAGTTGCTTTGTCTGCCTCTCGATATTCCCGAAACGCTTAATTCCTGTAAAATATAAAAAAGGTTATGAAAATCAATTTCAACAAAATATAAATTTAAGCTTTCCCTTATTTAAAATGTTTAAACGTTCATCTCTATTACTATAATAACATTGATTTAAGTGCTCAATTTGAATAGTGTCCGAATTTGATATTCATAAGATTAGCATTTCTGGTCCATGAAAGGAGAGAATGAAATCTTTGTTATGATTTTTTTTAAATAATAGTCATAAATACATTCAACATCAAATGGTTTAAATTTTCTTCGATCACGTCCAACTACATGAAATATGTGAGTCATATAATATTATTTACCCAAGTTTCATATTCATCCTTAAACGATATAAACAAGCAAAAGGTCGAGAAAAAATGTTAAAAGAAGAAAACACAATACAATATCCTCTTGTAGATATTCTACTCACCTTTTAAAGCCATATTCTGAAATTATACAAACAAATAAATATATCGCGAAGACGCAAATAAAATTTTGGTTTCTTACTCAAAAACAAACTTACTGAGGTACTAGTAATTGCTTACAACTAAACTATATGTATGTGATATTATCTTTGTACAATACATGTAATACATAAAAGAATATTTGCAAGCTAAAGCTAATTTAATACGATTGTAATATAAAAAATATCATTAACATCTTCCAGTATATCATATCATACTAAATGCTGAACCAAAAAATGTCAAATATGTTTCTCAACATTTAGGTGTCACTAATGCTGAATGGCAGGTCACCTGTATGCC